TCCCGGGAGTGCGCGCGGGGGGGTCGGACACTCCGGGGAGACCCCCGGCCCCCCGCTCCCAGGGGTCTCAGCAGCGGCGGCGGCCCCCCCGCACTCACCGCTCTCGCCGTCCCGGGGCGCCGCGCACACTGAGGCTCCGCCAGCCGCCTCCCCCCGAGCCAGCCGGGCCGTGACGTGGGGGGAACCCGCCCCCGCCTAGCAACTCGCCTGCCCGCCCACAGCCCGCGGCCGGCCCTCGCAACTCCACTGGCCACCGCGGCTGCCAATCCCGGCAGCCCTCTACTCCCATTGGTCTGCCCGGGGGGGGCGGCTCCCAGGCGCGCCGCCGTGGGAAACGGCCAGGAGCGCCTGCCTCTTCCCAGGTGCGATTGGTTCACTGCCCTCGCGATCACCCTCTAGTGCCCGCCTCCCACCCCCTCTCATTGGTCGGAGAAACCCAGCACCGCCCATAGCGGCTTCTTATTGGTCAATCTGGCGCCTTCACGACCCGCCCTGCGCTTTCTCATTGGCTCCCGTAGCATGCATCCATGTGGAATCCCTGGGGAATCTTCTGGAAGTCCTGTGACATCACTAGAGAGGGACCCTGTGACGTCCCTGGGGGGGGCTGTGACATCACTGGGGGGGGGGCTGGGTGTTCTCAGTGTGGGGGGGCTGCAGCCATGTGGGGGTTGGCTGGCTGGGGAGAAGGAGGTGGCAGCTGCAGAGGGGGCAGCACCTGCTGAGGGCTGGGCACCAGGAGCCTCCCCCTGCCGAGTGGCCCCTGCAACCGCTGCGCCCCAGAAAGCCCCGCTCAGGGCCCCCCAATCGCCAGATTTCAAAAACTAATAAATCTGTGGGTGTTGATTGGCCACCTGGTTTCTGAGACGTTTCCACGTTTTTCTCCACCACCGGCAGGGCCAACATACGCCTCTTTTAACGAGGAAAACTGCGATTGTCGCAGGGTAACGGGAGTCCAGGAGCAGGGACTTTAAAGAAAGTATCAGATATTGTGAGACTCGTTAAAATCATGAGTGTTGGCAACACTGCCATGGCCCTGTGAGGGACTGGGTTGCTGAGATCATTTACTGTCCCAGTCACCCTCCTCGTTGCTGCTTCAAACCCACGCTTGGCCTTTAACATCTCCGCCCTCCTCTGCTTATCCACTCTCGTTCTTTGCTGCTTTGCCACCTCGCTTCCGTCTCCCGCCACAGCTGGACATTGTGCTGGCTTTCTCCACGTCGCCAGCTCTCACCATTTTATTTGCATCAGAGAGTCATTTCATTTGGAGCCTCACAATATTTGATATTTTACGTAAAGTTCCGGGTCCCGGTGACGTGATTACATGAGAACCTCAGTTAATATTTAAAACCAAAGTAAGTTTCTATCCCTCCTGGTTGTTGGGTAAAGCTTGAAAATGTGACCCAAGTACAAACTAACATTTGGGGTTGGCACTGCTGCCCTCTGCACAGGGCAAATTTCACCTGTATAGGCTGACTTTGGTCATGCATGGCATGATGAGCTTTTAAAAAATAGCAAATTCTTAGCTTTTTTTTTTTGTCCGAAGAAGCACAAAGGATTCTGGGGTGTAGGATCAAAGTCAAAGTCAGGTAGTTCCGGAGTTGCAGGTGAAACGAGATTGAGGAAGATCGCCTAAAGCACTGGGATGAGGACCAGGGTCGACAACTTTGCTCCTCGGGCACAGTGGAATTTTCTCCCACAAGGATAAGACTTGTGTGTGCAGGAGACAGCGTTCTTGGGGGCTGGCCTGAGCCTGGAACAAACACCCACAGGTACCAAGGACCCTCACAAACCGTTTTCTGCCCCCAGTGCAAGGTGAACTTCTTCAACCTGCCTTAACTGGCTTAATCGCAGAACAGCACGTACCTATTAAAAACCCAGCGGCCTATGAAACCAAATTGCTCACTACACACACAGTCTCCCCCTGGGAAGAAGATGAGAGAGTGAACCAGGTTACTTAGTCACCAGGGCCGGCTCCAGGGTTTTGGCTGCCCCAAGCAGACCAAAAAAAAAAAAAGACCGTGATCGCGATCTGCGGCGGCAATTCGGCGGGAGGTCCTTCGCTCCGAGCGGGAGTGAGGGACCGTCCGCCGAATTGTCACCAAATACCTGGATGTGCCGCCCCTCTCCGGAGCGGCCACCCCAAGCACCTGCTGCCAGGCTGGTGCCTGGAGCCGGCCCTGTTAGTCACATTGCTTAATGCCCCACGGGAAGGCACTCAAATACTATGGTACTGAAGGTGAGATAAGAACCTGTACAGAACAAAACACAGGAGTAAATGTGTGAGCATCAGAGATCTCTTGGGCCATTGTTATAATCCACTCTCTGACTCCCTGTGACTGGGAGCAAGTAAATCACTTAAGTCACACTTTTC